CTTTCCACTCTCTCTAGCCTGTGGACTATAGCTCAGGTTACTGCTCAGCTTGCTTAAGCAGCCCTGGGCTCAGGCTGAGCAGCAGCCTGAGGTCTCGAACTAGGCCACTATTTGTTCTAGTTTTTATGTATTTCTTAACCATTTAACATGTAAAAACCATGATACTTTTAAAATTTAATATTTTATTTCTCCCAATCACATGTAAAAACAATTTTTAAAATTCATTTAAAATTTTTTTGAGTTCCAAATTCTCTCCCTCCCTTCCCTTCCACCCCCACATTGAGAAGGTAAGCAGTTCTATATAGGGTTATACATGTGCATTCATGCAAAACATATTTTCATTTTGGTCATGTTGTGAAAGAAAACAGACCATAAGAAAAATAAAGAAAAAGTATGCTTTGATCTGCATTCAGACTCCATCAGTTTCTTTCTTTAGAGATGGATAACATTTTTCATCATAAATCCTTCAGAATTGTCTTGGATCGTTGTATTGCTGAGAATAGTTAAGTCATTCAGGGTTCATTGTACAATATTGCTCTTACAGTATACAATGTTCTCTTGGTTCTGCTCATTTCACTTTGCATCATTTCATGTAAGTCTTTCCAAGTTCTTTCTGAGAGCATCCTACTTATCATTTCTTATAACACAATAGAATTCTATCACAAACATATTTAACAACTTGTTCAGTCATTCCCTAATTGATGGACTTCCACTCAATTTCCAATTCTTTGCCACCACTAAATGAGCTACTATAAATACTTTTGTACATATGGGTCCTTTTCCTTTTTTTTTTTTTAGATCTCTTTGGGATACAGACCTAGCAGTGGCATTATTTAGTCAAAGGGTATGCATGATTTTATTTGGGCATAGTTCCAAATTGCTCTACAGAATGGTTGAATTAGTAAACCATTTCACCAACAGAGCATTAGTGTTTTTTTTTCCCACATCCCCCAATATTTGTCATTCTCCTTTTCTGTTATATTATCCAATCTGATAAGTATGGGGTGGTAGCTCAGAGTTCCTTTAATTTGCATTTCTCTAATCAATAGTGATTTAGAGCATTTTTTCATGTGACTATAGATAGCTTTGATGATTTCATCTGAAAACTGCTTGTTCATATTCTTTGATAATTTTTTTTTTACTCAGTATGTGGAAAATGTCACAGTAAATGGAGTCCTACAGAAAAGTAATCACCCACTTTAGGAAGCAGTGAGTAGCTTCGTGTTTAATATAGTCAAAAGGAGGCTAGAATCATCACTTGCTAGAAATATTGCATACAAATAGTTGCATATAGGTAGGGTTTGGACTAGATAAGGTCCCTTGCAGAGGTCCCTTTTGAGACTAGCATTCCCTGAATTTCTAATCATCTCTTATCCTTTCTTTAGAGGCTGTGGAATAGAGTGTAAAGGTCACAGAGACACAAAACCTGGTTCAAGTTCCACCTCTGACCCCTACTGGCTATGTCAATCCTATGCATATCCTTCAGTTCTTAGTGCCACAGGAAATTCTAAGACTGTTAAATTGTAGAGAGGGTGGTAATTTGTATAGGTAGAAGGAGTTTTCTTCATTGGAATTCGCTATACTCATGAAATCACAGGCCTAATGCCATCATCCATCAATATATACTTAAATTAAAAATTTGTTTTTAACATTCTTTTCTTTCTTAAATTTTGAGTTCCAAATTCTCTCCATCCTCATACCCACTGAGAAGGCAAGCAATATAATCAGTTATATATGTGAAATCATGCAAAACATTTCCATATTAGCCATATTGCAAAAAAAGTGAGAAACATATACTTCAATTTGCACTCTGTTCATCAGTTCTCTCTCTGGAGGTGGATATTATTTTTTCATCATTAGTACTTTGAGATTGTCTTGGATCATCGTATTGATAAGAGTAGCCAAGTCTTTCATTGTTTTCCAACATTCAACATAATAGTTGTTACCGTGTACAATGTACCATGTACAACCAATTCCTCTTACTTTACTTTGCATCAGTTCATATAATTCTTGCCATGTTTTTTCTTAAACCACTCCCTCATCATTTCTTATAACACAGCAATCCTCCATCACAATCATACGTCACTACTGGTTCAGCCATTTCCCAATTGATGAGCATCTCCTCAATTTCTAATTCTCTCAAGCCACAAAAAGAGCTGCTATAAAAGTTTTTGTACATATATGTTCTTTTCTTTTTTCTTTGTTCTCTTTTGGGATATAGGCCTAGTAGTAGTATTGCTGGCTCAAAGGGTATGCACAGTTTTAGAGCCAGCTGGGCATAATTCCAAATTGTTCTCCAGAATATTTGAACAGGTTCACTTCTCTACCAGTAGTTCAGTAGCATACCTATTTTTCCCACATCCCCTCCAGCATCTGTCATTTCTGATAGGTGTGAGGTATACCTCAGAGTTGTTTTAGTTTGCATTTCTCTAATTAATAGTGAATTAGAGCATTTTTCCCATATAACTATAGATAATTTTTATTTCTTCTACTGAAAACTGCCTGTTTATGTCCTTTTACCATTTATCTATTGGTGAATAGCTCTTATTTTTATAAATTTGACTTAGTTCTATACTCAGTATATATTTGAGAAATGAAGGCTTTATCAAAGAAATTTGCTGTAAAATTTTTTGACAGTACTTCATTTTCTATGGTAACTTTTAGTATAATGTAGCAGCTGATTATCTCTTTTAATTAGGTCTATTTCTGCTTTTGCTTTGTTGATGATCATGATTGCTTACCCCTGCCTTTTTACCTCAGCTGAAGCATATGATATTCTGCTTCAGCGCTTTATTTTAACTCTGTATGTGTCTTTCAAGTGTTTCAAGTCTTATTTAACCTATTGTTGAATTCTGGTTTCTAATTCATTCTGCTATCTGCTTCCATTTTATGAGTGAACTCATCCCATTCACATTTACAGTTATGATTGCAGTGTATTTCCTTTTTATCATCCCCCCTTTTCTCTTATCACCTTCTCCTCCTGTTTCTTGATTGGGCAAGTTATATTTCTACACACAATTGACTGTGTGTATAGTATTTTTCCCTCTTTGTACCAATTCTAATGAAAGAGAGATTCAGGAATGGTCTGTCACTCCCTTTTCCCCCCCTCCATTGTAAAAAGCTCTTCCCTGAGTGATTCTTTTATCTGAGAAAAATTTCTCTTTCTACCTCTCCCTTTCCCCCTTCTTCCAGTACATTTCTCTTTCTCAACCCTACATTACTTCTTTGGAGATCATCTCAACATAATTGACCCATGCTCTCTGTCTATGAAACTTCCTTTTAACTGTCATAATAATTATAAAGTTCTTAGGAGTTGCATGTATCATCTTCCCATATAGGAATATAAAACATTGGAACCTTATTGATTCCCTTATGATATTTCTTTCATATTTAGCTTTTTATGCTTCTCTTGAGTCTTGCATTTGAAAGTCATATTTTCTACTCAGGTCTGGTCTTTTCATCAGGAATGCTTGAAAATTCTCTATTTCATTAAAAATCATTTTTTCCCCCTGAAGGATTATACTCAGCTTTGTCAGATTGTTTGATTGTTTTGCAGTGTGTCATGGAGTCATTAGCTCCCACTTGCTCAATTCTAATTTTTGAGGAATTATTTTCTTCAATGAGATTTTGTGTCTCATTTCCCATTTGGCCAATTCTGTTTTTTAAGGAGTTTTTCTCTTCAATGGATTTTTTTGTGCTTCTTTTACCATTGGACCAATTTAGTTTTTTAAAGTGTTAATTTTCTTCAGTATTTTGGTGCATCTTTTACCAAGCTGTTAATTCCCTTTTTATAATTTTTTTGCATCACTGTCATTTATTTTCCAAATTTTTCTTTTATTATCCTTATCTCTTCAACTCTTTCAGGAATTCTTGGTAGTTTTGGGTCCAATTAGCATTTTTCTTTGAGGGTTTTTAAAACTGTTTTCACATTATGATTATTATTATTATTGAGTTTATTTATGAGTCTTCCCTGCTACCCTAGTGGTTTTTTATAATAAATTTCTTTTTGTTTTTGTTGTTGTTGTTGTTTGCTGATTTTCCCATCCTATTACTTGACTTTGAATTTTATGTTGGGCTCTACTCACCTAGGGGCAGGAAAGCACTGTTCTAAGCTTCACTTTTTTGTGCTACTGTTTTCAGAACTAGTTTTGGGGGTCTGAAAGCTTTTAGTACTTCTAAGGGAATATGATCCTGAGAGAGGCATGGTCACTGTTCTTCTGGTCTGTGCTCTGGTCTTTACCCAGGAAAGGCCCCTGCTCCCCTCTAGGCAGAAGTGCTAGTACTTCTCTTTGCTCTAGAACTGTGACCAGGGTTCCTGCTCCCTTGTGATTGATCATTAGAGATCCTCTCTGCCCTGGAACTGTGATCTAGAACTGTATATAGGCAATAGAGTTGCCAATCAGTCTCAGATGTACCCAGTGCCAGAAAAGGGTCCCCTGTAATCTCTTTCTGACAAGTTGTCTGACCTCCTTATCATCTCTGGGCTGAGAGCTCCTAAAGACTCTGCTATGCTGCTGCAGTCACTGTTGCCACAATTTTAGATAAGCCTTCACCCTGTGTTAGTCTTCTCCTTCTGACCTCTTAAGTTTTCATAGGCCAGAAAAATGTCTCACCTTCACCTTTTGTTGGCTCTGCTGCTTTCAAATTTGATTTGAGGTATTATTTTAATATTGTTTGGAGAGAAATGTTGGGAGAATTCTGCTGGGTGGCCACTCCTGATCTGCCATCTTAGCTCTACATTGGTCAACATACTCTTAATATAAAGCCTTTCTAAAAGGCTTAGCAGGAAACATTTTGAAATTACAAGTACCTTTGCCTAATCTAATTTGGTATAATCTCAATTCATTCCCCCAACAGGTAGGTGTTAGGGGTGGTAGGCCCTAGACGCCTGAGCGGATAGGAACCTCCCTGGGAGTGAGAGCCCCCAATCCCAGAAAGACAGCTCCCTACACGGGGTACGTGTAAGGATGGGATTGGGCGAGACTCTTTGCTCCATACAGGTGGCAGGTTTCGCCCTCGGGGAGGATTGGGGTGGCCACCCGGAAGACAGACCCTATATAGACCAACGCCCCAGCTTGCTCGGGGGATTCCTCCGCAATTAATAAAACATATGCCTCCCGAAGCAGTATCTGACTGAGTCCCTGCCCGCCGTCCCCCGGGGAGGGAATCCGGAGACGTCCGAAGCGGAACCCACCGAGAGGAGCTCGCTCGGGGTCCGGCAAAAGAACCGGACAGCTGGCGCCCGAACAGGGACCTCCGTCCCCGCCGAGCGAGGTAAGCCCCCTTAGCTAAGAGGGGAAGAGTCAGACGCCCTAGGTTTACGGGGCACCTAGAAGTAGACATGGGAAACAGAGTAGTGAAACAGTTTAAGCCGGAGGATACGGGAGTATTAGCATGTCAGATCTTTACGTTGTGTAAGAGTTCAGGCATAAAAATACATATAAAGGAGTGCAGGGCGTGGGTGGAAAAGATCCTGAAAGTCTCCCCTTGGATCGCCCATACAGGGGTAGGTCTAACGGAATGGCAAGTAGTGGGCACCCAAATGTCCTCTTTTCACCACGTGGATCCCGAGTACTTGATACCCCGGGATTTCACTTTGTACGCCACAGTGGCAGCTGCTCTGAAGCCCGAACCGCCTCCGTGCCTAGTGCCACAAGAAGTACAGACGGGGGCCTCACTATGCGGGGAGGGGGAATGGCCACCCCCCCGGGCCCGGAGGGCCTAGAAGGGTTGGAGGAGGGACCCCCTATTTATCCATGGCAAGAGATGCGGGCGCTGCAGATCATAGACAAGCCCCACGCGCCGGCCGCGGCTGCGCTCAAAAACGAAAGTAACACCGAAGAGCCGCTGGCTGTAGAAAAATCGTGCTGCGGGGCCCGCAGCTGCTGTGGCTCTCAGGCTAAGACACCACCAGTACCGGGGGCCCCCTCAGGCCCTCATCGATCTCGGCTCCATCAGGCCATTCATACCGCTTTGGAGCGAGGTGAGGCAGTAGATGAGGAGGACTTAGATCTGTTAACACAAGCTCCCTCCGCCTTCCCCGTGTTTGTACAAGTGGAGAATGGTCAGACAGTCCGAGTACGTCGACCTCTGCCTTACAAATTTATAAAGGACCTTAGGGAGGCTGTAAAGTCTCATGGCGCGGGCTCAGCCTATGTCAAACGACTACTCGCCTCCTCAGTAACAGTAGCAGCGTGGCTCCCAGGTGACTGGGAGGAGACCATGCAGGCTATACTAGATCCGGCTCTTTTCACAGCCTGGGCTGCCTACTGGCGCCGTGAGGCCAAACTTGAGGCAGAACGGCTAGCCCCAGATAACATTGATGAAACCATTAATCAACTGACAGGGTTTGGGGAGTACACAGCTATAGACGCACAATTGCGGTTGCCAGAGGAGGTGATAGCGGGAGTACAACGCTGTGGCCTCGGCGCCCTCGGAAAACTGGCCAAGGGTACCGCTCTCCCCCTCCAACAACTAAAACAGAGGGCCCAGGAAACCGCCTTACAATTTATAAGCAGGGTGCAGACCACGGCAGAGGGGAAGTTTGGCGGTGGGCACGCCACCCAACAATTGATCATCCAGCTAGTTAAGGGAGGGCTCACCCACTCTAAGGGCATCCTGGCGACCCTACCAGCTGACCCCTCACTGGAAGAAATAATTGACAAGGCTCTGGATGAGGGCCCCCCTCAAGACTCATTACAAACGTCAATTCAGACTTTAACAGAGGTGATGTTAGCCAGGGAGAAAGGGGGAAAAGGAGAGCGGCAGGGAAAATGCTACAGCTGTGGAAAGTCCGGGCACTTTCAATCTGAGTGCCGTAGCAAAGACAAACGTTGTATAAAGTGCTTTGTTTGCGGACGCCCGGGACACATAGCGAAGCACTGTAGGATTAAGGGACTAGTCAAGGGGACCAGGCAAGGGCCGGGAAACGGCGACTGGAGCCGGAAAACCGAGGGACCGGCTCCGAGAACCACTTCTTAAATCCCTCGGCGGTTCTGACTTTGAGAGAAGGGAAGGAGTTGGAACCATGGACCACTACATCGGCTGAAGTACCCCCTAGAGATTGGCCACGTCTAATCATAGGCACCGCCCAAGCGCCACAAATTATTGTACATACTCAGGTGCTGAGCCCCCGTCAGACCACTATAACCCTTACCAACCCCCATGCATTCCCGATTCCCCTAAAAGAAGGAGAGCCCATTGCCACCGCCATCTCACTCCCCTGGCTTGATAAGAATTGGCAGGAACCGCAATACCGAAACACTTTTGTAGCTTGGACCCAAGCGATAACTACAGGCAGACCCACCATAGTGGTGGAGGTGGAAGGAAAGAGAATAAGAGGGCTCGTAGATACCGGGGCGGACGTCTCAGTCGTAGCGATGGAAGATTGGGACAGGAATTGGGAACTTTCAGAGGAGGAACTTAACCTCACAGGGGTTTCGGGGGGAACCCGAGCCAAAAAGTCCCGTAGATTCCTGAAATGGAGTCACAAGGGACAGTCAGGGAGATTCCGCCCCCTGTGCCTCCCCATCCCCACGTCATTATGGGGAAGAGATGTGTTGTCCGCCATGGGCGTCACCATTACCACCGACGCTCCGGAAAACCCCTGAGGGCCGCTGGTGGGCCGACACCCATCGCCCTAACATGGCGCACTACTGAACCCGTTTGGGTGGATCAGTGGCCCCTTACCAAGAACAAATTACAGGCCTTAGAAGAAATAGTAAGTGATCTACTTAAAGCCCAACACATTGAGCCCTCCACTAGCTCTTGGAACTCACCAATCTTTGTCATTCAAAAGAAGTCAGGGAAATGGAGAATGCTCATGGATCTGAGGAGGGTAAATGCAGTCTTAGAGCCCATGGGGGCCACCCAACCCGGACTACCAACCCCAGCCGCAGTGCCTAAGGGGTGGCCCTTAGTAGTCATTGATATTAAAGCCTGCTTCTATAGCATCCCCTTGCACCCCAATGATTGTGAGCATTTCGCCTTTAGTGTTCCTTCCATAAATTATCAGGAACCCCACAAGAGATATCAATTCAAAGTCCTTCCACAAGGAATGGCCAACAGTCCCACCCTGTGCCAGATATTCGTAGCGCGCATACTGGCACCAGTCCAGAAGAGACACAAAGGGGCTTTGATCATCCACTACATGGATGATATCCTAGTGGCCGCACCTACCAAACCCGAGGTGTCAGAGTTGCTGGGCCAACTTACTGCTGCCCTGGCCGAACAAGGTTTGAAGGTTGCTCCGGAGAAGATACAAACTGGGCCCCCATATCACTATTTAGGGTACGAGGTCTGGGAGGACAGGGTGAGCAAGCTCCCAAACATTGACACCTCCCAGGTACGTACCCTTAATGACTTTCAAAGGCTAATTGGCGCCATTCAATGGCTCAGGAACACTGCCCCCATTACCAATAACCTCATGAGACCGTTATATAACATCCTCAAAGGGGCCTCCCAGCTCACCTCCCCACGCACGTGGTCCCCCGAAGCCCTAGAGGCCATGCGCCACATTCAAGAGATAGTGAAGGAAGCCACTGTCAGGAGGGTAGATGTCACACTGCCCTTGTATGTCACCTTGGTACACCACCATACCTTGGGGCGGGCTGCCGTTATATTCCAGGTCACGGGACCACTTCAGTGGGTCCATGCGGACCGCCCAAAAGGGAGCCTACCCAGTCGCCTTGAGGCGGATGGCCTCCTCTTACTCAAAGCCTCCTCCCTGGCACGGGTGCTTAGTGGCCAAGAACCACAACTGCTCCTCACCCAGCCCCTGCCTGCGCTACAACAACTCGCCCAGGACAGCGAACCTTGGGCTGTCTTACTCACCTCACTACCGGTTACGCAGGGCACCTTACCCCCATCTATGAGGGGGTGGGTCCAGCTGCCCCTCCGCTACCCTTCCAACCCGGTGATGCAAAACCCCATTCTGGGGTGCAATGTCTTCACTGATGCAACAAAGAAGAATAAGGCTTCCATTTATATCCCCGATAAGCGCCTTCTCAAAGTTCTCCACACCCCCTACACCTCTGCACAGAAAAATGAACTCTTTGCGGTACGGGTGGCGCTCGCTCTCTGTGCCCAAGAACCCTTTAACTTGGTTACTGATAGTTATTATTGCTACTTTGCATTACAACACCTAGCTCTTGCAGATCTGTCCGTTTCCACCTCCGCAATTAGGGAGTTGTTTCAGGATATTCAGGCCTTGCTATTATGCCGTGTACACCCTCTTTATGTACTCCACGTTCGGTCTCATCAGTCCGCCAGTGGCCCCATTTTCTCTGGTAATGATATCGCGGATTCTGCCCTCCAAGCTAATCCATTATTCCTTATGCAGGTGGACCCTCAACAAGCCCATCATGTTTTCCATTTACCTGCAAAAATGCTAGTTTGCCTTTATGGCATCACCAGGGAAGAAGCACGCCGCATAGTACAGCAATGCCGCGCCTGTGTCCCCTTCCGGCCCCCCCCTAGCCAGGCTCCCAGCAACCCCCGGGGCCTCGCACCCAATCAGATTTGGCAGATGGATGTAACCCATTTCCACTCTTCCCTCATACATGTTTGTGTTGACACCTTCTCGGGATTAATAATGGCGTCCCTCCAACCTGGGGAGGCAGCCCGGCATGTGATCGCTCACTGCCTTCACTGTTTTGCCAGTCAGGGCCTCCCGCAGGTTATCAAAACCGACAATGGCCCTGCATATGCTTCCTCCGCTTTCCGATTATTTTGCCTTCGCTTTGGCATTCGGCACATTGCGGGCCTTCCTTACAACCCGACTGGGCAAGCCATCGTAGAACGGGCCAATGGGTCCCTCAAACGCACCCTTATTAAACAAAAAGGGGGAGTGCCAGGGAGGCTCACTGCCGCCCAACTGGCTCAAGCAGTGTTTACGAGGAACTTTTTAATTGAAGGAGAAGACCACATTACCCCTGCCATGAAACAATTGCTCGTGTCCTCAGAAAGTCCACCAGCGCTTCCGCTGGAGACACCAGGTGCAAAGGAATGGGTCACAGTCTGGTGGAAAGACCCTGAAGGCCGGTGGCACGGCCCAAATAGGGTCCTAATAAGGGGAAAGGGGTTTATTTGTATCCAAACAGATCGTGGTCCCCAGTGGCTACCTACGAAAAACACAAGATTGTGCACCGACGAACCGACGAAGAAGGAGACACCGTCAAAAGAGGAGGCGTCGGAAGAACCGCACGGAAAAGAAAAGGAGAATGGATAAGTTGATGTTGCTCCTGGGGCTGCTTGGCAGCCTCCAGGTAACGTCCGGGGCCCATATTCCCCTACTCCGAACCACCAACTCCACACCACCCTATGTGTATTGGACAGTCATCCCAGGGTTTCCCCATGCGGCACCAGCGACATGGGTGGGTGACCCGGTGCCCCTGAGGTTGGCGGGATCAGGCTCCCTGGTCCTGGGCGGCCATAGCAGCCTTGGCCCAGTGGTCGCCAGGGTACTTAATAAGACAGTTACCTGGGAATCAAAGCATCTCCCCATATGCCTGACCAAGGCTGTCTCCGACCCGTGGTGTGCCCAGGTACAGAACATGACCATCAGAGAGACGCCACACGGGCCCCACTCCAACCTTGGTCAGGGGGATTTCTTACATATGTGGGCCATTGCAGCTAAGAATAGATCGGCAGCCTTCCAGCGCTTGCTGCAGGCTGCTGGGAGCAATTGCTCTGGGTCCAATAAGTCCAGGCCGGATGTCCCATGTAACAGGAAGGACTGGCTTAATGCCACCGGCTCACTCTTTGAGAACAGTGACCCTCCATCCTCCCCATTACCCCCTTGTCATCCCACTCCTAACATGTTTGATGTTATGCAAGTATGTTCTACAGGGCATCTGGTGTGGGGACCCGAGTTTAACACAACATTGAAAACTGAGGTGTACTTCATGGATGGATTCCCCGGACCCTACTTTCCTGCCCCCGTACCACACGTGCTGCATAACGCCACCCTGCAGACGCAACTCCACCTGTGGAAGGCCGCCGCTGCTTTCGGAGAGGTCATCCACATGACGGACAATTCCGCCCCTTTAGCGGATAATGCCACGATCAACCGAGCGTGGTTTGACCGCCTCTTTAAAGAAGGATACACATGCACCGAACACCTTCACAAGGGACACTGAAACAACTTCACAATTCATACACAAACTGTCTGAAATATGGACATGTTCCTCCTCTGTGAGAATGCCACCATAACTAACACCTCCCTTGGGCTTAACGTGACTTGCCCAAATGGGGGGAAGCTCACCAACACACTCATGTCCATCAACATAACTAATGAGACCCGGGTGTTCGTGCTCACGACACCCCCTCTGACCTTCTTGCCGGTAGGAACGGACAAGCCTTTTGCCGACTCGGATTTCTTTCGGGCTGTCCTGAACCGGGGTAAGAGGGGCTTTGAAGTGACTGCTGTGGACTTCATTGGGCTAGTGGCCAGTCTGATAGAACAAGTGGAGATTAGCACCCTCTACAAGCGAGTAGGCCTAGTCGAAGATAATCTTAGGGATTTTATGCAGCTCACAACCAAGGCCTGGATTGCCCAACAAGACATTAATAAATTGGTGACCATAGAATTGTTGGCCCTTACATTGGCCGTGCAAGCCTTAGCCACCCTCATACAGGTTAACTCCGTGCTAGAGGGCCTCCCTTGCCATCATGTACTACCCAGGCCAATGTGCATGACGGCCGCCGTGCACAACGCATCCAGGGAGCTGGATGAGGCAATCCGGACCTTGAATGAGCATAGCAATATGTCTGACTATCTCAGACGCCTAGAAGATATAGTACTACAGATAAAGAATGAGACAGACCAATATAAGCAGCAGATACAAAAGGACCATGGCATTCTCCCCGAGTGGTTTAACCAGCTTGAATTGTCTAATTGGCTTAATTATGTACTGAGTATGGGAAGCATGGTTTTCTTTCTCTTGGTCATGTGTATATGCCTCCCCTGCTTGCTATCTTACGTGGTACGGCTTTGGCGTATGGTCTTAGAGCAAGTAAAAGCGGATATATTCCTGCGTAAACAAAAAGGGGGAGTTGTTAGGGGCGGTCGGCCCTAGACGCCTGAGCGGATAGGAACCTCCCTGGGAGTGAGAGCCCCCAATCCCAGAAAGACACGGCTCCCTACACGGGGTACGTGTAAGGATGGGATTGGGCGAGACTCTTTGCTCCATACAGGTGGCAGGTTTCGCCCTTGGGGCGGATTGGGGTGGCCACCCGGAAGACAGACCCTATATAGACCAACGCCCCAGCTTGTTCGGGGGATTCCTCCGCAATTAATAAAACATATGCCTCCCGAAGCAGTGTCTGACTGAGTCCCTGCCCGCCGTCCCCCGGGGAGGGAATCCGGAGACGTCCGAAGCGGAACCCACCAAGAGGAGCTCGCTCGGGGTCCGGCAAAAGAACCGGACAGGTAGGATTTTAGAATAGGGATAAAGAGAGAAAGGAATATACACATTTATTTCGGATAACATTTATAACCTGTTGTTCATGTCTGTTATTCTCATTGAATACATTTTCACATAGTTCTTTAGAAGGGAAAAAATGGTGCTAATCATAATATTTTTCTTTGTTCCAAATTTTCAGGTTGGAATTCTTGTACCTTCCCTACTCTACCTCCTCCAACCTAGGAGAAAGATTGCAGGGAATGTCAAAAGTAAAATATACAATGTCAGCTACTTTTGGAAAAGACTAGTCTGAATTGGAAAACCAAACTCAGACAAGCAACATTCACAAAGTCATGATGTGCTTATTATTAAATGTTTGACTCCTATTATACATTTATATCATGGCACCATGCAATGCCTCAGACTTTAATTCATTAATGCTGAGGTTAGTGCATTATCAGAATTGTAAGAAGACAATTAATTTTCATGGAATTTGCCAATAATTTTTGCTTTAAAATATTGTTTGTGATGTTCAAGGACTATAACACAAGAAAGTCAACAAGTAATTTCCCTTGAAATGTGTTTTAGCCGTTAATAAAGGTGCCCAAATAATTAGCTATATACTATGTCAGACCCTTGGCTTTTATAAAAACATTTAACCTGTGTTCTATTTATTTTTAGACTTCAATTACTATAGCGTTCAAAAAAAAAACCCAAACAAACCATAAATAATGATGAAATTCAATTACTGCAACTTTTCTTTCTTTCTTTTTTTTTTTGTGAGTGGCACTGTGGGGAACTTAAAACTGGAGAACTGACTGAAGTCTTCATTGCTTGTTGAGGTCATACTTTTCTTTATCCAAATTCGCCTATTGAGAAGAATATGAACAACACCGATACACCAAAACCTGTTTACTTAACAAGAATATCAGATCTAAAAGAGACCTTAGAGATTACTTAAACTAATTTCTCCATTTTATAGAAGAAGAGACTAAGGCCAAAGGGGGAAATGACTTGCCCAAGGTCTTAAGGCTAGATAGTTCTAAAGCCAGGACTAGAATCCAAGTCTGCTGTCTCACAGTCCCCTGGTCTTTCAAAAACAACAACAGCAAGAGCATTAATGTTGCCTCCATTAACTTCACTTTAAGCAGGTGTACTACATGAATGTGGAAATACATGCAAAAGATAAATTAAGGAGTGAATTTTTTTTTCTTTTACAATGAGATTCACCGCCATAGGGCTCTTTTAAGAAGCAAGTTCTATTGCTTCATTTAAAATATATTTTGCCTTGGAAAAACTGTTATTTGCATACAGTCTTTGGGGCAGAGGACTTTATTGTGGAAAACAAACTATACCTATTTTCCTCAGAGAAGGAAAAGACGGTTGCAAAGAATCCTCTCTTCTACAGAGAATAAAGGAAGCAAGACCCTGGGGTTGACTGCAAAGAACATATTCCTCAAGTCTTCTCTTCTCCAAACTAAACATGCCTACTTCCTTTAATTGATCATTATAGATTGACTGATATTTATATAGGGCTTTCATATTTGCAAAGCACTTTACATTCATTGTCTCCTATAAGCTTCAAAATAACCCTGTGGTGGTAAGAACTAGATTGTTATTATCCACATTTCATAAAGGAGGAAACTGAAATTCAGAGAGGTTAAGCAACCTGCCCATAGTCACACAGTGTCAAGGTGGGATTTGAATTCAAGTCTTCCTCACTCTAGGGTTGCTATATTTACTATGCCAAGTTGCCTTTCATATAGTATGTTTACATAATCTTTAATAAGAGTAACAAGATGGACTTCAGCATATTTTCAAATAAATTATGGAGTTTTTTTTTGTTATGCCATCCATTCTCTACTTAAAGACATCAGTGAAAGGGAGCCCCCTGACCCTCATGGCCTAGTTTCTAGTCCCCTCACCATTGTGGTTCACTCTCTTCCAGACAAATTAAAGGGAATCAGTTTCCTGGGAAATGCATCTCGTGGGATTCAATTTTAGTGAAAAGCAAATGCAGTAAAACACATCCATAATGACCTTCCCTATACTTTATTATAGGTGGGAATAGTCTGGGGATGTGGACTCCATTTCAGGAATAATTAATTACTGATGGGAAAGTACAAACCAAATCTATAAATACTAAAGAATAGTAGCACTAAAAGGCTGTCAGAGGCAACTCTGCTGCAAATGCATAGCTTATTTATTTATTCTTTTTTTAAATATAGTTCAGTCACCTTTAAGAAATATTTTGAAATCTGAAATGCACAATCCCCCTGCTGCTGACATTGTCTAGACAACTTTGTTTTATGCATAAAAATGACTTCCAGAAATGAAGACCTTTTATCTCCTCTCTGCTTCTCATGTGGCTCCCAGTGAGTTTCACGTTTTGGTGAAATAAATCGTGAAATGCACACAGTTCTACCCTGATATGCATTTTTTCACTATATATTGGGGTGTTGAAATAGGGATGCAGAAAAGTTATTTGTTTCTGCTGAGGAGTTACCTGGGGGAGGGGAGTGGAGAGTGTGTTCATTGCTTGAAGGAATTGCAGCCCAAAGAGCTGATGTTTAGAGGTTATGGCTGCAGATCTCACAGTTTATCACAGACCAGCTGCGTGGGTTATCACTGGTGTAAATTCTGTTCAGCAGGCTGCTTTATGGTTATATAAAATACAGACTGTCTAGCACACAAACTAGCCTCCAGTTGCAGTTTCTGGTTACACTTGCCATTTCTGGTCCTGGATAATGGAGTGTTTCTAGAACTGCAGCCCTGACTGGAAAAACCAAGGACTCCTTGGTGACTTCAACATAAGCTTTGGTTTAGATACTGCCTCTGGCTTGGGGAGCCCAAGGGCAACAATTTAGACAACATCAGCTCTTGGTTAGGCATACTAAGTGATTGGAGTAGTAGAATGGATTCCACAATAACAAGTATTTACAAAGCCCCTATTTGTTTTAGGACAGCTACATGGTGTGGTGGATAGAATGCTGGGCCTGGAGTCAGGAAGACTCCAGTCTTAAGTCACTTAATGCTGTTTGTCTCAGTTTCCTTATCTGTAAAATGAGCTGGAGAAGGAAATGGCAAGGCACTCCAGTATCTTTACCAAGAAAACACCAAATGGGGTCACAAGAGTTGGAAACCAATGAATAATGACATTTTAAGCTTTGCAAAGCATGTTTCATGTCTTATTTTTCAACCTCACAACAACCTGTGAAGTAGATATTATCCCTATATTTCAGATGAGGAAACTGAGGCAGAGGTTAAGTGATTTGTCCAAGGTCACACAGCTGGTAAGTATCTGAGGCAGGATGTATGCTCTGATCTCCCTGATTCCAAGTCCAATAGCTCTAGCCACTGAGCCATCCAGCCACTAAATTATCCTAAAGGAGCTCTATAGTTCCATTGTCTGTGTTTTTTTTTTTCTATGTCCATATTGGCCTGCCAAATGACTTCCAGACTGGTGGTCTTTTCATCAGACCACATCACCTTTTGTTCTATTTTTAGTAAAAACAGATGTTTCCACAGTAGAAATTACACCCCAAGTTTTACAGGTATAATTGAGATTTCAGTTGGATCTCAGTAGAGGCTTGTCTCTGATACCTTGAAGTTGGAGATTATCCAGTAGGCAAAGAGAATATACTTATTGTTGTGTTGTCTATGTGGATGAAGTTAGCAGAGATTCACTAAAAATCATGAGCCAAAGTGCCATGGTCACTTGGGTTCAAATTATA